GAGTATGATATATGCTCTATAGTGCAACAAAAGCGGGACAACCTCCCCACCCCCTCAGAACATCTGTGATATTAAAAGTTATAGGAATTCATCAGGACATTGTGGGACATGGACTGACTGGAAATAGTACTGAAACTTATAATCACCCTAATACTATCATGAGCACAAATAATCAAAAATCTAAAATAAAAAGGCCATCTGGAGAACCCTAACAATAAATTCTCCCAACTGAGGAAAGCAGAAAGTAGAGTCTCCCAAGGACCGTACTGGGATCTGTGCTTTTTAACTAGTTCATAAATTACCTGGAATCACAGATAAACAATGAAGTAGCAAAGTTTGCTTTTAGTACCATCTTGAACAAAGATGGTTAATACAGAAAGGGATTGTGAGGAGTTCCGAAAGGATCTCTCCAGACTGGTTGAATGGGCAGTAAAATGACAAATGCAATTCAGTGTAAACAAGAGTACAGTGATATATTGGGGCAAAAATGCTCATTTCTGAACTGGCAGTGACTGACCAGGGAACGTCATAGTAGAAAGCTTGATGAAGATATTGAGCCAACGTGCAGCAGCTGTGACAAAGGTGAATTCAATGTTAGGGGTCATTAGGAAAGGGATTGAAATTAAAACTGCCAATATCACAATGCCATTATACAAATCCATGGTGAGACCATTCTTGGAATACTTTGGGTAGTTCTGGTCTCTGTGCCTCAAAAAGGGATATCGTGGAGCTGGAAAAGCTTCAGAAAAAGGCAACCCAAATAATCAAAGGGCTGCAGCAACTCTACTGTTTCGGAAGGTTACAACATCTGGGGCTTTTTATTTGAAAGAAATGTAAGTAATAATGGCCCATGATAACTGTGTGTATAAGGTTATATATGGCTTGGAGAAAATGAATAAGGAGAAGTATTTCCCTCTCTCTCTCTTGCGCTAGAACCCGGGGCCATCTGTGAATATGAATGTTGAAAGATTCAGGACAGACGAAGAAATTTTCCACAGAGTGCGCAGTTAAACTGGGAGTGACCTAGCTAAGCCTGGCAGGGCAGCTTACTCTATGGCATTAACCCCTTCATGCATTAATTAGAATAAGCATGTTGGTTTTATGAGGCTGGTTATCCCATGCCATCAGCCCCAGCTATTTTGGCTAGGAATGATGGTAGTTGTAAGCTAGCATTATCTGGAGGATATTGTATATTGGGATACAGCATTGCAGCTAAGAGAGAGTGGCTTGTCTACGACAATCAGATATGTTCGTGGCAGGGGTGAGATTTGAATCGGGAATGTTTTGGTTCGTGGTTCAGTTTCTGAGCCACCGTGCTACAGCAGCTTTCTAGCAGGGATGGTGTTGGGGAGACTTGAGAGATACTGTGAATCCTTCCTATAAATAGTTTCTTTCTTTCTGCATATGTGCTGGAAAACTGTGGTTAGAATGTCAGCCTTCAAGCAGCTATTCATCACCTTTTAAACCTTAAGTGATTTGTGAAGGGTAAATGATGGATGGGTGGTGATTGGATACAGCTCCTCAGAACGGACGTAAGGAAAGAAAAGCTTGTGTGTAACATCTGGAGAGGGGGGGAAATGCTAGTGGACAGGGAAACCTTTCGCATGAGTGTCACTTTATTTCAGAATATTGTGGCATAAAGTATCCTTCATGAGGTACCAAAGGAGCAAATAAGTCCATTAGGCACACTCTGGAAGGACTCCGGAAAGAGTGAGTATGGAGAGGGCTGGGAATATGCTCTCATTCCACAAAACAAAAACAAAACAAATAAACCTGCAGAAAGTGATGGAGGGTATGGAATTCAGCTTCCTGAGAATCCCACCTTAGTTATTTATTTTTAAGTAAAAAGTTCAGGCAGCAAAGAAAGTGTGGTCGTGGCTGCTGAAATTTCAGCCAAAGAGCTGACTTGAGTAAAACAGAGCTTTCCAAAGCTGTGTGTTGCGACACTTTAGTGTTTCGGTTGCATTGTGGACGTGTGTCATGCGAATGCTCCCTGCGATCCTCCCGGTGCTGGAAAGGGGTTAGTTTCACCTCTGGTTTGCTAGTAAAACTGAATTACCGTGTCGTGAAATGATGCATGTCTAAAAAGTGTGAAACCAACATGAAAATTTTGGAAAACTCTGGAGTACGATTTCCATTAGTTTGGAGTGGGGCCTCTGTCCTTTGCACAGACATCTACTCTTGATTAGCAACCCGGAATAAATTGTGCAAATACCATGTAAATATGATAACATTGCTTAATTTATATGGGTTTCAGAATTCACTTTTCTTGCCTTGCAATTTATTTGTTTGTTTGTTTTAGCATAACGAGTGCAGACTACTTGATCCTGAAAAGGGACTGACGCAGGGGAGCCAAACCGATTGAAGTAGGGGAGAATACTTCCAGAACTGGGAATGTCATGTTAGAAGGCACAGAGATGTAAGTGGTAGATGAAAACAAAACAGATCACCCTTGTGGAATTGATAGTGTGGTCCCTTAAGGGGAATTGGTTAACTCAGTCCCCCATCTCTGTAGGTCATGCCATCAAACACAGGTGAGCTCTCTGCGACACACAGACAGCAACATCTGAAAATAGGAGAATAGCACTTGGCTTCAAAAACAGTCAGAAGCTGCCAGGCAAGCCATGATCTGCCAGTTTGTCGTGAGCATACATGCAAAGGAATCGGTGTGTAGCTGCTTCAGATGTGTACATGCTTAACAAGGGAAATTTTGTTTTGGGCAAAACTCCACATTGCCTGGCATCCTGCCTTTAACTGTAGCAGTCCATGATGGTCCAGAGGAAAGGAGGGAAGAAAACCAATTGGACGCAGCCGAGGTTCCAGATTTCAGTGTGGAATTTTTTAAAAACCTCAGATTATAGATAGCGGATGTATTCCACTTAATAAAGAAAATAATAAAAACTGCTTTTTGTTAGGGAGAACAGTTCTCTCTCACACCCACACATTCATTTTCCCTTAGGATCATGAGGACTAGAACCCTCTCTTTGAAGGGAAAAAAAAAGAACATTGTCATCAGTTTGCTTAGGAATCTATTAAGAATCTACAGACCATAGAGAAGTGCTTTGGGGGAGCAGCTTACTCCTTGCCTAGCTAATGGAATGGAAATCGGTTATCATCCCGAGCGGTTTCCATGCCAACCTGTTCAGCAGAGCAGATACCATTGAAATGCGATGGATTAAAAAGCCCCTTGCTTAACTGACCCTTGATACCTGTTAAGGGCTAGTGTGATTATAATGAGTGCTAATTACACACACTTAGATCAGAGCCGTTTGTCTTGCTGTGTGGATATGAAGGCGGCATCTCAACTTGGTTTCTTATAGAGTAGAGGGCCTTTTCTGGCAGAGCTTGTTTGTGTACAGATCAGGTTTTGTAGCTGTTAACCTGGATTAAATTATTACTTGCTCTCTGCACCAGTGTTACCCTGAAAGGCTCTAGTTGCCTCTACGCTTGCACATACCTGAGTGGAGTTCGTTTTATGGATGCTTATTACTACAGTAGGGACGCGGGTGGCGCTGTGGGTAAAAGCCTCAGCGCCTAGGACTTGCCGATCGCATGGTCGGCGGTTCGAATCCCCGCGGCGGGGTGCGCTCCCGTCGCTCGGTCCCAGCGCCTGCCAACCTAGCAGTTCGAAAGCACCCCCGGGTGCAAGTAGATAAATAGGGACCGCTTACTAGCGGGAAGGTAAACGGCGTTCCGTGTGCTGCGCTGGCTCGCCAGATGCAGCTTGTCACGCTGGCCACGTGACCCGGAAGTGTCTGCGGACAGCGCTGGCTCCCGGCCTCTAGAGTGAGATGAGCGCACAACCCTAGAGTCTGTCAAGACTGGCCCGTACGGGCAGGGGTACCTTTACCTTTATTACTACAGTGGTGCCTCGCAAGACGGAAAACTCGCAAAACGAAAGGGTTTTTGGTTTTTTGAGTTGCTTCGCAAGACGATTTTCCCTATGGGCTCGCTTCGCAAGACGGAAACGTCTTGCAAGTTTGTTTCCTTTTTCTTAACCCCGATTATCCAGTTGCGACTTGACTTCGAGGAGCAACTCATAGCACGCGGTGTGGTAGCCTTTTTTGAGGTTTTTGAAGACTTTGGTGATTTTTGAAGCTTTTCCAAAGCTTTTCCGACACTGTGCTTCACAAGACGAAAAAAACCGCAAGACGAAAAAACTCACGGAACGAATTAATTTCATCTTGCGAGGCACCACTGTATGTTATCATTTGTATAGCATTGTCACTGTGTGAAATGCAGCCAGAGCTCATCTCACAGCCTTTGGGGTGGAAGGACACTGCCTCCATATTAATGGCGCACATGTGGAGTTGAGGAACAGGCAAGCTCCCTGCTTTCTTCCCAAGAAATGCACACAAAAATACTAGGAAATGCATTTAGGAAGGGGATAAGTTCAACGAATTTGATCAGCATGATAGCAAATTATATGGTGAGGAAAGGAGTCTTAAAAAATAAGAGGGCAGAAATGTCCATCTTATTTTATAATTGGGGTGTGCATATTACCATTTACTGTGTTTTGAATATAGAGCAAATCCCCAAGGAGTAGTTGTGCTTGTTGCAACAAAAACAGCCAAGAGCACTGTGGCTATTCAGTTGCTTCCACACCAGCCCTTTTCTCTGAAACGATTGTCCTTTGTTAACTCACTTTTTACAGAGCATCTAGACAATATTGTCAAGCTGTTGCAGTCCAGTATTTTTTGTTGCAGTCCGGAGTTGTCCTCCTGCGTCCCGCCCAGCCACCCCACATTCACGATTACTTAACAGTTGTTTTGTACATAATAAAACAAAATTGCGACACCAGCCGTCTAGTGTGGAAAGGACAGCACTATTATGGCTATTGAACATTTCTTGATTCAGCCTGTTTCTCCTTGACAAACACAGCTGGTTCCAGGTAAGCACTGCTGAGGAAATTGGTGGTTTTATCCATAAAATCATATAATTGCAAAGTTGGTAGGGACCATGGGTCATCTAGTCCAACCCCCTGCAGTGCAGGATTTCTTTGCCCGAGATGGGGCTCGAACCCACAACCTTGAGATGAAGAGTCTCATGCTCTACTGCAGAGCTTTCCAAACTTTTCATGTTAGTGACAGGCTTTTTAGACATGCATCATTTCGCGACACAGTCGTTCAGTTTTACTAGCAAACTGGAGGTTGAACTAACCCCTTTCCAGCCCCGGGAGGAGCATTCTCACGACACACCTACACGCTGCAGCCAGGACATTAACGTGTCGTGACACACAGTTTGGAAAACTCTTCTCTGCTGACTGAGCTGTCTCTTTTGCCCTAATGTCAGTTTCTGCTGCCACAGAGGGCAGTTTCCTCATTGTTTGTTCGTTTATAAATAGCAATCGTACTATTTTGTTATAAGCGACGGAAATAAAATAATTTGAGGAAAGTCTCTCCCCACCCTCAATTGCAGGAACAGAAAATTACCAATTGAAAGGGCAAAACCTGGACACTATTCAAGGGGCAAGTGAGCAGGTGTTCATCACAAATCCGCCAGCCGTGTTCATCTGGAAGCAATAAAACGGGCTATACCTACGAGGATAGAACTTCTGATTATTGTTGCAGGGATGCTGAATCAAACTTGTGGGTGAACCAAGAAGGGTTCTAGCCACAGGGAAAGGCATTGCTAGATTGTGACCACTATTGCCTTAAGTGCTTGTGTGGAACCCTCCGCTTCAATTCTGCTTCCAGAGACTTGTGGGAAAGCAATAAAGAGCCATACTATGGAAGCAATCAAAGAACGATTTATTGTCAAACAAACTTTTGTGGGCTGGAGTCTACTACATCAGATACACAGAGTGTTATTCTTAGTTGGGCATATATATACATAAGTGTGTGTGCGTGTATTAATATAATATTAATATGATACTATTATATACAGTGGTACCTCGGGTTACATACGCTTCAGGTTACAGACTCCGCTAACCCAGAAATAGTGCTTCAGGTTAAGAACTTTGCTTCAGGATGAGAACAGAAATTGTGCTCCGGTGGCGCGGCAGCAGCAGGAGACCCCATTAGCTAAAGTGGTGCTTCAGGTTAAGAACAGTTTCAGGTTAAGTACGGACCTCCGGAACGAATTAAGTACTTAACCCGAGGTACCACTGTATAATATTAATATTACAATATACTGTAACTATTCAACGGTGGAAAGGTCTCCCTTGGGAGGTTGTGAACTCTTTTTCCTTGGAGGTTTTTAAGCAGATGGTGGACATCTGCCATGGATGCTTTAGCTGAGATTCCTGCATTGCAGCGGGTTGGACTAGATGACCCTTGCGGTCCCTTCCAGCTCTATGATTCTGTGGTGTGTGTGTGTGTGTGTGGAGGGGGAGTTATTGGTTTGTTTTCGTTCTTATTATGACTTATTTATTTTGTGCTTTTTGCCTTGTACTTTTATGCTGAGACCTGCGGATGAAGGACAGGATGCAAATTTAACAAATAGTAACAATAAATAAGAATACATACAGGTCGTACCTTGGTTTTTGAACAGCTTAATTCTCCAACGTTTTGGCACCCGAACCCCGCAAACCAATCAGAAGCCAGGTTTTGGTTTCCGAACGTTTTGGAAGTCGAACGGACTTCCAGAATGGATTCCGTTCGACTTTCAAGGTACAACTGTGTACGGAGAGTGTGAGTTCTGAAATAGTAGCATCAAAAGAAAAACAAGAGGCACAGTAGGTCTGTGGCATTTTTAGACAAAGCTCAAATGTATACAAGTTAACCACAGGGACCATTCACAACAGCAGAAGCTGATGATAAATCGTATCTTTGATATGCTAGTTTTACAACTGCAGTGGGGGTGGGGGGTGGGGAGTCCATCGTGCCAATTAATAATAGAAAGCACAATATAGAATAGGTGTTCTCACTGAGCTAGAGTCGTGCCTGACTTCTTGCAGGTTGCCTCTGTCTTAACAGCACAGGTAATTCATTCATAGCCAAGGAATGTTTGCCTTTCAGCAACCTGCTCAGCATCCACATCCGTTAGCTGGTTGGGCGGCTGCATGATTAGGGGAAGGGGGCACTGGATGGACCAGTGGTTTTCATCTGATAACAGAGAAGTCAATGCTTCTATTTAAAAAGAAAGCCTCCCCCCCCCCCCAATCTGAGAGCAGAGCCTTCTTTGCTTATGCTCATATGTATTTTAAATCTAAGAAGATATTACTTTCCTTTCCTTGACTTTTTAAACAGCTAAGGAAAAAGGAAAAATCTCTCTGTGTGTGTTTGTGTGTTTGCTATCAAACACTGCATTTTTGTTCAGTAGGTTTTGCACTTCCTAACACTCAAGATTTCAAGCTGTTAAGAATTCCCTTAGCATTTTGTGCCCTCTCTGATGCTCCCTTTTCCCAGTTGTGCTGTACAGAACTCTTTGAAGCCCTGGGTACAGCAGATCCGTTCGCAGAAGCATGTTCAACTGATTGGTTAGATTAGGTTATTAACTCTACGGAACACTGTCCTTCCTGAGCATGCTTACTTGGAATTGTAGACAATGACTCTTACTTCCCAGTAAGCATGTACAGGATTGCAGTTGAACAATATTTTATTTAGTTAGAGAGGTGCATCCTGATTACTGTATTTTTTGCTCTATAAGACTCACTTTTTCCCTCCTAAAAAGTAAGGGGAAATGTGTGTGCGTCTTATGGAGTGAATGCAGGCTGCGCAGCTATCCCAGAAGCCAGAACAGCAAGAGGATTGCTGCTTCGCTGTGCAGCGATCCCTCTTGCTGTTCTGGCTTCTGGGATTCAGAATAATTTTTTTCTTGTTTTCCTCCTCCAAAAACTAGGTGCGTCTTATGGTCTGGTGCATCTTATAGAGCGAAAAATACGGTAATCTGGAAGCAGATTTATTTATTTATTTATTTATAAATAAATAAATAAATAGGGGACGCGGGTGGCGCTGTGGGTAAAAGCCTCAGCGCCTAGGACTTGCCGATCGAAAGGTCGGCGGTTTGAATCCCCGCGGCGGGGTGCGCTCCCGTCGCTCGGTCCAGACGCCTGCCAACCTAGCAGTTAAATAGCACCTCTGGGTGCAAGTAGATAAATAGGACCGCTTCAGGCAGGAAGGTAAACGGCGTTCGTGTGCTGCGCTGGCTCGCCAGATGCAGCTTGTCACGCTGGCCACGTGACCCAGAAGTGTCTGCGGACAGCGCTGGCTCCCGGCCTATAGAGTGAGATGAGCGCACAACCCTAGAGTCTGGCAAGACTGGTCCGTACGGGCAGGGGTACCTTTACCTTTACCTTTAAAGAAAGAAAGAAAGAAAGAAAGAAAGAAAGAAAGAAAGAAAGAAAGAAAGAAAGTATTATAACAATCATCTTGGAAGAGGCATTCTAGAAGGCAGGAATGCCTCTACTGTGGGGTCTACTGTGTACAAGCACTGAGCGACTCAAATGCCCCACATACCAGGGACTAAGCCTCGTTAGACTCAGTACCATTTACTTCTGAGTAGACATGGTTAGCATTGCGCCACAAAGCACTTAATTGATTTGATTGACAGCTTTAATATTTAGCATGAGGATAGTATTTCTGAATCAGAAGTGCGGAGCATGTGAGAATGAAAGACAGGGCCAGACCTCTTGATTTCTACTCTATATTTTCTCTGTCTGCAGCCATTCCCCCCGCCCCAAAACAGCAATTCTGTGCATAAGTTTGTATCCGCTTTTAGAAAGCAGAGACTGATTCCTTGGCCTTTCCATGATGAAAGATAGCATATCTCCCTCTCCCTGCCCCCACCCTGGTTCAACACCTGAGTCTTTATTCTGATTGCTGATTCTCCAGTTACAGAGCCAGCAAAAGGCAGGGAGGGGGGGAGAGCAGGGAGAGGAAGAGAGACATTTCTTTCAGCTTTATTAATTTGGGTCCTAATCTTCTTCCCGATCAACCTGCTCCCCTTCCTATGGCCCCTGGAATGACTAAGCGAAGAAAATTTGCTTGGGGAAGCTAGTGATCTTGGTTGACCCTAGAATTAGGTCTGCCAAAATTACTTCTTTTTCCTCTCCAGAATGGATCAGTCAGTCAGTCTCCTCCAGATTTGTTAGAGAGGTCTTAAGAAAGTATGTGGACGGATAGACGGACAGACAGCAGGGACTTCGCAGCAGGCATTTCTGAGCAGCAGTTAAAATAAAAGAACCATATGCAAGATGCTTATGGACGCTTCAATGATACTCAACAGAAACACGCACAACCCAACCAGACGCCATATTTTCAGATACTATTTTAGGTCTCTTGATAGGTTTAGCATCTAGATATGTTTCCAGTTTCCTCGCCCCACTGGTAGGACTGTTCCAAGCAGGGTGCTACAGGGCAAGGTTTGCTGGCAAAGCTTGGACACAGAAGAGAAGAAGAAGAAGAGTTTGGATTTGATATCCCGCCTTTCACTCCCCTTCAGGAGTCTCAAAGCGGCTAACATTCTCCTTTCCCTTCCTCGCCCACAACAAACACTCTGTGAGGTGAGTGGGGCTGAGAGACTTCAAAGAAGTGTGACTGGCCCAAGGTCACCCAGCAGCTGCATGTGGAGGAGCGGAGACACGAACCCGGTTACCCAGATTACGTGACTACTGCTCTTAACCACTACACCACACTGGCTCTCTCTCACAGCACCTTTAGTCACACTTTGGCGTTTAGTACCACCATCCTGGGGACGCGGGTGGTGCTGTGGGTTAAACCACAGAGCCTAGGACTTGCTGATCAGAAGGTCGGCGGTGCGAATCCCCGCGACAGGGTGAGCTCCCATTGTGAAAGTGAAAGTAGATAAATAGGTACCGCTCCGGGGGGAAGGTAAACGGTGTTTGCGTGCGCTGCTCTGGTTTGTCAGAAGTGGCTTAGTCATGCTGGCCACATGACCCGGAAACTGTATGCCGGCTCCCTTGGCCAATAAAGCGGGATGAGCGCCGCAACCCCAGAGTCGGTCGCGACGGGACCTAATGGTCAGGGGTTTCTTTACCTTTACTTTACCACCATCCTGATATAGCAGGTGATGCTTTTCCTGGCATGGAGACAGGTCAACGGTTGGGGAAAGGTTTACCTGTCCATGTCAGGTTACTGTTAAAGGCCCAGGAACAAGATCAGTGACTCAG